AGAGGCTTTTGGGAAATCAGTTTTGATTACTAAAAGCTGTATGGATATGAGATTCTCCTATGCATACGTGATACGGATACCAGAGCAAACCAAACAGGGCCTAATCAGATTCATTTCAAGTGCTTTTGACTGCCGTTTTTCATACTATCAGGTAAGGTCATGGATGGAAGAAATTCATCCCGGTGTCAACAAGCATATAATTTCCTACATCATAGGTCTAGATAGCTTAAAAACAATGACCACGGACAATAAGGCCGCAAGATATTGTGAGGATATTAGACTTAGGATGGATGGCCTATTTGAGGAAGAGGAAATAGCTGTCCAGTTTACAAGAGAATTCATGGCCTTGTATACAAATGGCCCAGCTGGCGGCGGCGGTGTCAGGTTTGCCTTAGATCACTTGACACAACTGGATTTAAATCCCATGCTGTTTTAAACCCAGATTATTACTCTGCAGTACTGGTTGGAAGAAAGAGATCATTCTAGAGAAAGAACTGGTATCTCTCTCTCTCTCTCTCTCTCTCTCTCTATCTATCTATCTATCTCTCTCTTAGGGAATATGTTCATGTTGATATATACTCAACATTTCCAACACCTTCTTCTGTGTTAGGAGTAATTTATACAGACTTAATACTTCCATTTTAGGTGAGGCGCGAAGATGTACAATGGGGAATCACAGCAATGGGTGTCATCACCTCAAGTGCACACACTGCGAGCCTCCATAGAACAATGGGTGCATCGATATCTCCATCAATCCCCCAAGACGAAGACACATTCAAAGAACCACAGCTTTATTCCTCTCCAGCTCCATCCGGGACAAAGGTTCCCCTCTATAACATAGCCCACAGCAGGGCTGGTGACAAAGGGAATGACCTCAACTTCTCCATAATCCCGCATTTCCCACCTGATATAGAAAGGATAAAAACCTTTATAACTCCAGATTGGGTGAAGGAAGCTCTCTCCCCTCTTCTGAATTACACTTCGTTTCCATCTCCCACAGATATTGAACAAAGAAACAAATGGATAGCTGAGAATGTGAAGGTGGAGATATATGAAGTCAGGGGTATCCGTTCTTTGAACGTCGTCGTTCGCGATATCCTAGATGGCGGGGTCAACTGTTCGCGTAGAATCGACAGACATGGCAAGACCATATCAGATCTCATATTGTCTCAGCATGTCTTGTTGCCTCCATGATCCAGGTACAGATAATGTTTAATCACAACGTTTAGTTAAGTTGTCATATATTTAAGGACAATTAGTTTTTAATCTTTTTTTGGCTTTTGGAGTGATCTACTGTAACACTACAATATTCATTATTCCAAATTATAAGAATTGTAGTGAATTAAAGCGAAACAGGTCCAACTCTTTCCAAACTTTTATTTGAACCAAGTGAAACTCAATAAAATAAAAAGCTAACACCAACTACTCTATTTTTTTTAATCTTACCTACCCATGCCACAGTAGTAAAATCATACACTTAAATCCACAAATAAAAGCATGTTTGCCTCTAATAACAATTACTTGATGTGGATGTTCCAATTACATAACAATATTCTATTACTAGTGTGGCATGGGTAGCTAGGTAAGATAAATCATTTTGTGAAGGCTTTTGGAAGAGTCGATATCCATCATTATTCATGTTAATTAGTGATGTAATACAAACAAACAATTAATAGTATCATTGTTCTTATTACAGCAATTCACACTACAAGAAAAATAGTCTAAGCTAACAATTAAAAACTGTTGCTGAAAATGAAAAAACCGTTGCCTTACATCTAAGGCAACAAAAACGGAGTGTTGCATTTGCCCTTGTTGTCTTTTCTTAAGGCAACAGTTTTGATACAAAAGGCAACAGTTTATAAAAACGAGCCTAGATGCACCTAAGGCAACGATTTTTCCTAGGCAATAGATCATAAATGTTGTAATATGGTGACAGTATGAATTTGTTGCCTAATATTTAAAAATCTATAATTGTTGCCTTTGTTAGCATGTGTACCAGGTTGTTTCTTATAATAATAATAACCATATCAAACATGAGAATATCTATTGTTAATTATCTACATATAAAAAATTTTACTTCATAGAATAATTTAATATGCAATTAAAAATATCTATGAAATCATATAAGCTCATTGGTTTCACAAGACAACTCAATAAAGAATAATAATATATTTAATATGATTTGCCCAAACAATTTTATTTGAACATTCATAATAAAATATGTAGTCATTAAACATTTAGAATGACTTCTATTACTTAAATCCTTCAAAATTGCAAAATATGCATTGTTTATGAGCTTCCAGAACACCGTACACAAAAATTAACACAACCAAGTTTTTAGTATTTTGTTATCACTCCAGGTACAAAACTAAACAGAAGCAAAGCAAAAAACTAAAAAAACATATCATCATGTCTTGACATAATCAACTGGTCATGAAAACATATCATCATCATCAACAAATTGTGTTCCCTAGAAAAAAAGTAAACGGATGGTCATTACTTAAAAGAAAATAGATGAGATATAAAACAATCATGTTGCATGTATAAAATGACAAATTGAATTGAATTAAGAACATTCAAATTTAGAAATAAGCTAAGTCATTATTCTCAAAAAGTTAAGCTAAAAGGAAATCATTGGCATCAAATTAACAATTGAATTCAGTTTTTACTCGTGATTCTGACTAATAACAAAGTCCTTTTTTATCACATGCATGTTGCCACAAGCAAGTAAAAAAACCCAAACAAAACTGAGGAGACCTTAAGTGTGTTTCAAAAAAAAAAAAAGAATTACAATTCAATACCAGCCAAAAAACAAGCAAAAGGACATCTAGAAATATCATATTTTGAGCATATTTGAGGTGAATAAAGAACCTCAAGGTTCAGCACATTTGGAGATTCTAAATGATCATGATTTGGCACATGTGTTGAATCGGAAGAAGAAGAATGTATCATAGTTCCTTTACTAGCTTCAGCACCTTTGGTTGGTTGATCTCTGACCAGTAAAGAACCAAAAATACTTTCATCAATAGCAAAATTCGGACAAGTATGTCTTAATTCAGACATCAAATATAGTAAACCATTCGCTAAATCTGTCCCATCCTCCTGTCTTTTTTCTTCATACTTTTGTTGATATTTCTTTTCACACTCTTCTTCAATAGCTTGTTGCTTCAATGAAGTGTAAGAAACACCTCTTCCAAAAAGGCGTAGTCGACGTCGTTTCTCATTCTTAGAATCAAACAGTGAAGCAATGGTAGCCTCTGCATCATCATCATCATCATCATCATCATCATCATCATCATTATTACTTTGACTCCATAGTCAAAATTAATTTGGGAGTGTAATTGAAGTGGGTGGGGGACATGTTTGTGTTGAGGAAGGGTGGGGGTTTACATAGGAAATTAGGGGATAGAAATTGTCAATTTTACGAACAGGATACCGGAGCACGCTCGGATCATCTCTGATATAAGATTCCAATGTCATGTGAACTCCTCTAGTTGAACATACTAAATTGTCACACTACTCATGACGCACATCCTCCGGGATATACGAACACACAATTAAAGTATGAAGTACGAAAATATCCAAAAATGCAATTCCATTCTTCAAACTGAAGATTAAAAATTAAAATTAAAAATAATAATTTTGTACTATTCATCATGCATATAATTTTACAATTTTTACTTTTAAATGCTTAATTAATAATTTTATACTCCCTCCGTCTCCAACTAAAATCTCGTTGCGCGTTACGATGTTTGACTGAAGTTATTATCAAATTACTACCTCCGTCCCGGAGTATTTGTCCACTTTCATTTTTACACACCATCCAATACACTTCTTTAATCCATTTTATCTTGTAATTTGTTTATTAAAAAATTATAGAAATTATATATTAATAATCTATATGTAAAGACAAATCAAACAAGATCACACATGACTATATTTAGACTTACACATTGAGAGAATTTGATGAGTCAAAGTGCTTAGATGAACCGTTTCAAAAGTCAAAACTGGACGAATATTTCAGGACGGAGGGAGTATTTTATATGAAAAATTGTGTAAAATTTAAAAATAAAAATTACATATTAAAGAACTATATCAAAAGATCTACAAAACTAGAGGTAACATAAATATATTATTTTCTCAAGTAGGTGACGAAAATAAGCCAATAAAGTGAATAAAGTTTGATCTTGTAAATAATGAACAGAAAGTTTATTTGTGGACGGAGAAAGTAATTTTTAGTTGAAATTTAAAATTTTACTATATTAAAATTTTAAGTTAACATTTAAATTTTGAATTTAATTTTTTAATTTTTAGTTTTTAATATTTAATATTTAAATTTTAAATTTAAATTTAAAGTTTTAATTTTGAATTTTTAAAATTTTAATTTTAAATATTTAGTTTTAGTTTCAAATATTAAATTGCTGATTTTTAGTTTTATGTTTTCAAATTTTTATTTTAAATTCAAAATTTAAAAATTTTAATTTTTTGACTTTTAATTTTGACATTTAAATTTTTTAACTTTTAATTTTAAATCTCTAATTTCAAATTACAAATTAATAATTTTTAATTTTAAACTTAATTTAAATTTGCATATTTAACTTTTAATTTTTAATTTTTAAATTTGGCTTCTTTGATTTGTCAAAGAATTTAAAATCTATCAGAGAAGTCAAAAGTCAGCCAAAAAGTAATTTTCATAATATATATAAACTTTAAAAGACATGTTTCTTTATTATGATAAAAAAAATCCACATGATTCCATTTTGACTCATGAATTTCGAATTCTTTCTTGTATTATGGAATTAAAAATATTGAAAAATTTGGAATTCCATGTGGACATATTTTTGTATTACTAAATAGCAGAATTGAAATTAAAATCACCAATTCTAATTTAATGGCCTAAATTTCATATACCAAACGAAGCCTCTATTGAAATTCCCTACCCATGATATTTAATACGGAGTATATTGTTATGTACAACGTAGTACTAATTTTAGAGAACAACCGATATATATACAATATTTTCATACAAACCCTAAACTAAAGCCCAAAAAATGACATTATAATCTAGCCAAATTCTTGTGTGTGGTCAGGAACTTCCTCTTGTGCTAAATCAGGGAGCACTGTCTTTTGTCTTGCAGCCTATTGAAGCAATTTCCAAACACAAAGCTGACCATTTCTATCCCCAATGAATAACAATCCACCATTTGTTGCCCGAAGCGAAGGGGCTTCACCATTTGTAGCAAGTCGGCCCCGGTCAGAAAACCTAGCATGATTATCGAAGAAATTAGGAAAACCAAGAGTAGAAAAATGCGATTTCAAGGGCAGGGAGGTGGAAGGGTAGGATACTTACGAAGGGAGGTCATATAAGCGGACAAAATTGTCTTTGCACGAGCATATCAAAATAGATTTGCCTTCAGCATCACGTATTCCACAAAACGATAGAATGCCCTGAGACGGTTAAGCCCATTGTCAATCTACAAGTTAAAAAGATGCGCAGAAAGTATGCACGTAGCCACGTACACACACAAATATCAACTTACAGTCTCTTCCTTGTGCTCATAGATCACTTCCATGTTCCCACTTACAGTTGCAGCCCATACCTAGAGAAAATATGTAGAACAAAGACTGAATAAACTTCCAGAGAGAAAGCCATAAAAGGGCAAAGGCATCATCGAACTGATCAGACAATGAAGAATGAACGTCTTACTTTTATTGTGTTATCTAAGGACCCAGATATCAAATAGCTCTCCCAGCAAAGGACAGACATCACAGCACCTGCGTGCCCATGCAGCGTTTGCAAGCATTGCAAAGTTTTGAGATCCCACACCTGCAAGTGGTAAAAAAAACGATTCATAAAATTCCTAGTCAATGCCGAAACACAAAACTAGATAAACAAGATCAATATCTTTCATCGTAGTCTCAAAAAGATTTTCAACAACTTAATCATAAACACTATAATCATCATATCCCAAGTACTTCAAGTAGTTTCAATAACAAATTTTGAGAATGATGAATCATTTTTAAAAAAACTACATAATTAAATACAATGGTGTACTGCAGAACTCATAAAGATGGTAGAGACAAGAGGCCATACCCTTAATGTTTTGTCCCCAGAAGCTGAGTATAGTCTATCTGCACTCACAAGAAGTGAGAAAACAGCCAGGCTGTGACCTTTCAGTGATGCTACTAGTTCAGGTACTGCATCTGCTGAGCTGAACTTCCACACCAATATGGTTCCATCCTATAACCAATGGAATTATCAGTATTAGAGAGGTTTATTCAAAGAAGGATCAACAAGAAAAAAATATATTATTTTAGCTAGGTATAACTAAAACATTTGGCAGTATGTCAGTTACTCAG